CTCTCTGACTGCAGTTCAATTACTCACTGTCCCTCCACACATTACATTCCCTTCTTTTATATACCAGCGTACCCTATTTCTAGTAAGAACTTGAACATTCGCCAAAGTACATGATAGTTCTAGAAACGTTGCGTCACGGTGGTCATGTGACTCGATGACGCAACAATATGCATATTGCTAAACAGTTTTGCTAAAGGTTAAACAAAGTGGAAAACCTAGCGACTTCTTTTGGAACTTTATTTAAAGTAAATAAAATAGAACCTATGGAAAACACGTGTAAAAAAAAAAAGATAGAAAAGTTAGCGAAATCTGTAGAAAACATAACTTAAGCATTAAGAGAGCTAAATGGAACCATTAATAACGTAATTAATAAAGGAAAATATGTATATTTAAAGCAGTAAAGGGATCTCTTGGTTCTATCGAAAAAACAAAAGGCCACGAAGGTCTGTTTCAGTTATGTTACTAAAGCACTAGACAAGAATCCTTTTAAAATTATGCCATCAAATATTTCAAGTAGTAGTAATAGAAAACATTACTGAAGTAGCAAGATAGATCCTTAAAAAATAAGTAACAAAACTAAAGCAGTAGAGAATCCCTTTGTACCATAAAAAACATACATGAGGTAGTTATAACAATAAGTAACAAAACTAAAGCAGAAGGCCAGTCCTTCTTAGCTATAATAAAAATAGGCGAACCTTTAGAGTTGTAAATGACATGACTAAAACAGTAGGACAGTATCTTCTAACCATAAAGACTGATAGCTAGAACAGTAGGACTGTTTCATAAAACTGCAAATTACATAGCTATAAAGCAGTAGTGGTCTCTTGATAATAGGAGTGTCCTTTACAACTGTAAGTAACATGTCCAAAACTGTAGAAGTGATGCCCATTGGAACAGTGAATACCATAGCTAAAACGGTGGAAAGTCTATTGGAACTCACCATCAGGTGACTCTAAGCTCTTAGACTAATAATTTTATTAAAGCGGCCTTTTTTTTTGTTTTTTTACCTTTTGATTTTGTCTAGCTTCCGCTACTCCGTGCTATTACGACTGGAATTATGGCCGAAAACTTCGCTAACAGTGAGCGTACCCAACTGATGAATCAATCCATTCTTATCATCATACTTTTTATGTTAATTAGACCAAAATTAGTTATATAAATTACTGGGTAATTTGTGTCCCCTATTGGGCAGCAGTAAATATACAGACATACAACGCAAAACCCGGGGTTCGATTCCGCGTAGTGGACACAGCTGATAGCCCAATGTGGCTTTACTCTAAAACAAACAAATGAATGATTAATTTGTATTTCTGATCAATTTATATATGTAACTTGCTTTAATCAGAAGTTAATAATAATGTAAGTGATTGTATATGCTGTTATACAAGTACAAGGTGACAAACTTCATCAAACTCTTTAACCTTAAATCAAGGAAATTCTCTACCTCAAATAAATTCAAACAAACACTATATTATTTATCTATTTAAAACCATATATTATTAATTATATTGTTATCTTCAAATAACCTGCTCATTATTAATTATATTGTTATCTTCAAATAACTTGCTCATTATTAATTATATTAATATCTTCATATAACCTGTTCATTATTAATTATATTATTATCTTCAAATAACCTGCTCATTATTAATTATATTATTGTCATCAAATAACCTGCTCATTATTAATTATATTATTATCTTCAAATAACCTGCTCATTATTAATTATATTATTATCTTCAAATAACCTGCTCATTATTAATTATATTACTATCTTCAAATAACCTGCTCATTATTAATTATATTACTATCTTCAAATAACCTGCTCATTATTCTAAAAAATCTGGCGAACCAGCATGATACTCTTCTTGATCCCAAAGCGAATTAGGCGACTATAGAGTCAACGGAAGAAGATTATATTAATTTGTTTATTTGTTAAACTTTGCACAAAGCTATTCGAGAACAACCTGCGCTAGCCGTCCCTAATTTAGAAATGATGGACTAAAGGAAAGGTAGCTATTCAACACCACCCGCCGCCAACGTTTGGACTACTATAAGCGAATAATGGGATTGGTTTTCACATTATAACATTACCACAGCTGAAAGGGCGGGCATGTTCGGTGATGAGATTCGAACCCTCGACCCGCAGATTGCAAAGAAATAACGGTCAAATCCAGTCAAATATAACAGTAGCTCAAACACTGGCTCGGGCGCTGTTGACTAATAACCTTTCTTTAGTTATGAGTTCAAGATTGAGGATTGTTGTGTACGGGTAGTTGTTGAACAGCTTTGCCGAAAAATTCTAAAAATAAGCAAACAAGTTAACGCACGATTTAATTTCAGAATATTTCACAGCTGGCTCCTCAAGCCGGCCCGAAATACGACGATGTTTATGTTAAAAATCGCTCGACAACAACTGTTACCGCGTGAATTGTATTAAATTGGTGTCGTTTAATTTCTTTATCAACTTTATTTATGTTACAAGATAGCAGAACTAGGGTCAGGGATACTTAACTATGTATTGACCAGTAAGCACCACGAAGGACTTCACAACTTTGATACTTTTCTTTTAGACACGCCATACTGCGCAAGTGTGTCAAATTCGTTGTACTATCAGTAAGTACCACGAGGGATTCAGATTTTTGTACTAACCAGAAAACATCACGGGGGTTTTGAATTTGTTGCATTGAACAATTTTAAGAACTTTGGTTACCTTTACTTTAGATAGGTTGTACTGAACAATAAGTTTCTCGAGGGTTGCACTGACCAATTTTAACAATTTTGGTCGCTATTGTTTTAGATACGTTGTACTAAACAGGAAGCATAGGAGGTATTCTGATTATTTTACTGACTAGCTTTAACAGTTCTGGTTACTTTTGTTTTAGATATGTGGTACTGACCAATAAGTACCACAAGAGTTTCAGATACCTTGTACTGACGACTAAGCACCGTGAGGGTTTCAGATTATTCTACTCACGAACGTTAACAACTTTGGTTACTTTTGTTTTAGATATGTGATACTGACCAATAAGTACCACAGGAGTTTCAGATGCCTTGTATTGACGACTAAGCACCATGAGGGTTTCAGATTATTCTACTCAGCAACGTTAACAACTTTGGTTACTTTTGTTTTAGATATGTTGTACTGACCAGTAAGCACCATGAGGGATTTACTCTCTGGCCCTCTAATGTCTCTTGGAACTGGAATTCTATGGATGTTGGACCAAAACGAGACCTACTAGGTAAGACTTCTTGAATTTGGAGAATTAGTTATTATTTCCTGACGATTTTCTACATCACATAGATGAATCGCTAAGAGTTTTGTACTTTGTATACAATTTTTACTAAATCTTTCACCTTTTCTGAATTACATCATAATAATTATTGTAACAAGTGTTTTTTGCAACACTTATTAAAATAATGCATTCTACTAAGCTTACCTAGAACTTCTCAAACTGAATAAAACATTAGAAACTAAATTACAAATTTCATGGAGTTCTTTGTTAAAACATTTCTCGTTGTGCCTAATTGAAAAATGTAAAGCTGTTGATGGAGGCTTATAACCTTGGATGGAAACTTAAAGAATCTTCCCAAATTACCATTCAGTTTCAGTTTGTGTGTTGTTGTTGTTTTATATACAAGATTTGACTCTTTTTCGTACTAGTTATAGAATGGTAAAATACGATATTTTCAATTATAACAAATCTTTATCTTCACAAAAATGGCGAGGTTTAGCAATAAAAAATTTCCCAGTAGTACTAACACTGAAAATACTTACCTTGGTTAATGTGTAACTGTCTCAAGCATAAGGTCAACACAGCTTAAACCCAATCCTCTACATGCTATATATTAACTCGTGCACTAACTCATGCATTGGAAAAAAAATTATAATACCACATGGGTATAAATGTAACTAACAATGCACACGATTGAACTATATTCATGAATAAAAAAAATATCGAACCAAGAAAGAAATGTGTCACATATCTCTTGTCAATGGCGGCGTTAGGCATAAGCAGACTAAGGGTTAGTGGGCATCTCAAGGGACACCCAATTCACGGGGCTTTTTTTCATCATAATTTTGACTTTTGCCTGTTTTAGTATAGTATTCATTAAAAAAAATATAGCTCTTTGGTTGCTAAGTGCAGTACACACACACACAGTGTGCATGATTTCAGAAAGATACCTGCGCAGTGGTGTTAGTGTGGGACTAGAAATGACCTTTTAACAAGTGTATTAGTGTGCTTTGGATATGATGTATTTTTGGTTAATAGAAATATTGCAATTAGTATTTCTAAGGGGTGGGTGAGGAGGTCCAAAAATATTCATGCTTAGAGCTCCTAATAGTTTAGCATCGCTCCTGCCTCTAGTTTAAACATACATATTATCATTATAAATAACCAACCATTTTTTAAACGAAGTATTTTATGCTGCTAATAAGAAAACTTTGAACATTCCATGTGTATATTTACAAGTTGAAAGATTTAAAAATAATGTCGTTACTGCTTCTTGATACATAATAACAATATACCAAGTTTAAGTAATATCATCACTAATTCAAATGTAATGTCACTGCTGAGCCTTTATTTTTACCAAAAGAGATTAGATTAAGAAAGATCCTCATTGATTTTACGTGGCAAGCTTAATAGCCATGAATGATTACTCTCAATGCCAATACAGCATCTATATTCATGCAATGAAGAGTATATCTTTCAATGTAGCATAAAATATTTGCTAGTATCCGATCCAAAGTTGATTTTAAGCCTAGTGATTTAAAACATTCCTAGTTGAATGACAGATAACTTTTTCAGGGTTATGAAATTAGATTGTTAAAAGACATCTTAATGGCTATTGTTTCATTATTAGGTGATTTAGCCAATGCAATAAGAAAGAAGACAAACCTCCACTTCGGAGTTTACCATTCTCTTTATGAATGGTTCAACCCTTTGTATCTCTACGATAAATCTAACAAATGGAAAACTCAAAATTTTGTTGAGGTAAGTAAGATTTAATTCACTGTATATGAATAATATATTTAATTATTATAGTGGTAAGATGTAGATACAATACCAAGTTATCATCACGTTAGTTTATATATGTTTATTAGTTTATAAAGGAAGCTGTAGATGAAGGTACTGTGTATTCACAACAGCTACCTGACGTTAATCTGCAAACATTATGTTTTTAAAAGAATAAGTTTAGTTGATATTAACAAGTTTTTACAATAGAAATAAACGCTACCTTATACATTAGACAGATTAGTCTTAGTTTTAAAGGTTAATGCTTACAAATTATAATACAGATGGTTAATCTCACTTTATAAAAAAACGATGGTCTTTTGCTTTCCTTGGAATTAATTCCCTTATCGTTGATCTTGTTTATGCTAATAGTCCTAATTTTGTACGATTATCTAATACTCACAATTTCCATTTCAACAAACTCGTTGTCAATCTCTTAAACCATACCACTGGACAACTTTTTTTCACACAGATCTGATTTGTCTATAAGTGGACTTCACCTTTCAAGACCACGTTTAACTTTAAGCAAACCAAATGCACAGAAGCCTATGGGTACACAGTTAATGGCTTAACAGTAATGTCGAAGAAAGGAGTAGATAAACACTGTTTTCATTTTCCATGGTCTACTGCATTGGAAAATATTAATCGTTTTCCAAAAGTGAGATTAACCAATTATACGTCAGTCCCTTATTAACTTAATAGTCTCTATGAAATGTCATGAAAACTTAAGTATGATGAATGTGAAACAGCAAGAATGACGGCGGGTATATTTAATAAACTCCCACATTGACATCAATCCACCTCTAAAACTATGATTGATAAGGTATACAGTCCATACTTTAATTAATATAAAGCACAACAAGGGATCTCTTGGTTCATCTAGGCCATCCTATCCATTAAATTAAACTAAACAATAAAAAAACTCATCAAAGTAAGCCCTTATCGTTCAAATATTTATTAAGTTTTCCCTTAAATTAACTACATCCACCGCATCAGAATGTAACTCGTTCCAAAGAACTATTACCTGTTGGAGAAATATAGCAGTCTTAGCTGAAGATGACTCCTATCATGCCAGAAGATATATTTGTGTCCCCTAGTTTTACTATTCTCATTATTAAAGGCAAAAAAAAAAAGATGATGCATCAACACTATCAATTCCTTTAACACTCTTAAACACCTCAATTAGATCCCCTCTAGCTCTTTGTAACCCTTCTCTGGACTCTTTCGAACAATTCAATGTTCTTTATAAGGTGAGGAACCTAAGACTGGACTCGGTACTCTAAATGTGACCCAACCAATGACCTGTACAATAACATTATAATCTCTTTAGACTTGTGGTCAGTATTTTTGTAGATAAAAACTAAAATCCTATTTTCCCTGCCAGTAGCAACAGCAAATTGTTTTGATAGCTTATGAGACTGAACCAAAACACCAAGATCTTTTTCTTTCAAAACACTGTTAAGATTATTCCCATCCAAATTATTCTCATAATTCAAACTGTGGTGATTAAAAGTCATCTGCTATTTATTCGCCTAACTCACCAAATAATCCAAATCCTTTTGTGAAGCAGTAGCACCCTCCTCACAGCCAGTAGCATCCAAAACTTTAATGTCATCAGCAAATTTAAATAATTTCTTGACCATTCCTTCATCTGTGCCATTGATGTAAATCGAAAAGAGGAAAGGTCCTAACAATGAGCCCTGAGGTACCCCGCTCGTGACATTAACACGTTGGTATACGCGGTAAGTTAAACTTCAGATTTCATTAATCCAAAACAAAATCCAGTTATAATTAAAGCCAACCGAACACAATACTTTGTGAGGATAAATAAAGTGTGAATCAATATTTCTTCCTTTCAGTTTGAAGTAATACAATGTTTTCAGAATTCGTCTGACTAGTGGCGTAGTTGCGAGGGGATGGCTTTGACTGGAACGATAATAATTATTTTATGTATTTATGTTTTGTATTTCTCGTAAGACCAAGACGATGCCTGAATTATTAGAGCTTGTAAACGACTACAAACCTGATGTGATATGGTCAGACGGAGACTGGGAAGCTCCAGATACGTATTGGAAAAGTAGGGACTTTTTGGCCTGGCTTTATAATGACAGGTGGGACAATTCTC